GGGGGGGGGGGTCCAGTCTCAAAAAATTTTGTTTTGGGGCCTCAGTTTGGTCTAATAATAAGGGGGGAGAGCCCCTTGTGCCCTTCCCTTGGATCCCCCACTGTCTGTGTGAGTGGAGCACTGAAACACATGAATTTTCAACCAGTCAAAAATTTGTCCGGTACCTTGTGAACATAGCCTGAACATCTGATAACTCATATGCCTTGTTAGCTGCCTAGATAATGGCTGAAAGATCTGTTAACTGCTTAATTACCGTCTGACTGAGTGTGACGTGGCTGTGTGCATGTATAAGTTAACTATTATTATTGTAGTGCCAGCATGGTTTTCCCTCCTATAATAATTTTACTTTAATTTTATTCTGACCTTTTTATCAATCTGTTTGTGCCAGAAAATGAGAAGTTGAATTTTGATGCTGTCACCAAAATACACTCTCACCTGGATGATGACAGGAATGGTAAAGTTGATTTGACTGAGTCAAATGAGGTTAGTGTACACTAAATGTTGAGGTTGTTGCTTATTGTAACTAAGCTATCTCTGATGATTTCCTTTAACCTTCCTGAAAGTAAGGGTGGAGTAAGTAGATGAATCTCTGATGAAATAAGTGAAGAATAACACTATTATTGGTTTTTGTTATAATATTATAGATTGTAAACTGGTACCTATTTATGTCAGTCATTGGTGATTACCATAAATCGTTATTCACGTCAAGGAGCATTACAGTTCCCATTGAAAAAATTGTGCTCACCAATAATATCCTCAGTAAAGTCCTTCTCAAAAGGTTTTGTAACATGTTTCATTTTGTTTTAACCACATTTTAAAGTTTATGGTGAATGAATTACAAGTCACAGATGAGGAGCGGCATTCACACTTCCACGGGAATGATGACCTAATCTCTGTTGAGGAGATGTGGCAAAGCTGGGTACAAAGTGAAGGTAAGAATCATGTTATGAGTGAGAAGCAGCTGTTTCCGTTACTAAACACCAAACAATAATTAAATTATTTTTATATTGGCTTGTAGGGATCCTCTTCTTCATTTCCAGGCTCCTCTTAATCCTGCATTCTCATAGCCATGCCTTTGCAGCGTGCAAAGAAAGTAGTGTCCGATAGCCCGGGGCTAGTGGATTTTGCTATTGGACTAGTGAATTTTGTTTTTAACTTGCCCGACGGGCAAGTGATGCCTTTTGAGGAATTCGAATAACATCAAGAACTGTGAAATCAATTCTGCTAGTCAAAAAGTTTTTGGGGCTAGTTGAAATGACCTCTGGGCTAGTAAATGCTAGCTTCAGCTTGCCCGAATGGCAAGCTATAAAAATGATTTTCTTTGCACCCTGCTTTGTTTATGTCCAGTTGGTTGGAACAATCCAGTCGTTTGTAATGGTTGATGATCAAATCAATCAAGTTGCCATCAGGAGGAAGCATGGCCAAGTGGTTAGAGAATTCAGAGGCCCCGAGTCCCGAGATCAAATCCTTGGCTGTGCCAAAATGTTTGTTTTGTG